ATGTCAGGGGGCTATCACCTCCATAAATAAGGGGGACGTTATTAGCATGTTCAACAGTGCCATATTTCCACGTGTAATATCGTCATTAAGGAGCCATCGATTTTTACAGACTATCATTAATAACATCATTACGATCTACGATTTAAACTGATAGGGCGGGGGGGGGGGGGGGGTCGGGAGTGAGTCCCGTGCGAGAAATTCTGAGCAACGACGGTCGAACCACCAATCCGTGAGGTGAGCAGGAATTGTCGCGGTGACACTGGGCCTGGAAGCAGCGGCCACGTATCTACACTCCCGAGCTGCTTATTCCTCAACTCCAATCGTGAAATTGGTACGTCGCTGCCTCTCTGCCGCTGTCCCCCACCACCGCCCCCAAGACTGGAGATTCCTCACCTCGGCCATCCGTACTGCCGACTTCACATGCGGTCCCACATGTGGGCTTTCAACGTAACCGGTTTTACGCGTCGACTCACCGATTCATATTCATTCTGAAAAGTCAGCGGCACCGCGTGCACTGAATCGCGCCGTGTAAGAATTACTTCGTTTCGGGTAATGCCGCCGCATTGGCTTCAATGTCATCAAAAGGAATGGACTCTTGAATTCTATTTGCGATTCTTAACAGCGACGATTAAAATCCAATCGCTGCGGGGCCGGTGGTGGGGGGGGGAGGGTGTTGGAAACCCGTCACCCCGAATAAAATCCAAATTATAGCCGTATTCAATTTGCAAGTGTGCTTCATTTGGGCTGTATCGCATTCATTGCAAGACTAAACATATATATAAATGCAATCGTACACGGACGCGCAAATGCACGCTCGTCCGTCGCGCTGTCCGGTGGGAGGCGGTTTTGACTGGAGCCACTCCAGGGAGCGACCGCTCTCGATGTCCCGGCCCGGTGGCCGCTCCCTGCTGATGACAAACTCGCCCGACCATCCACGGGGATTTACGGATGCGGTGCAGCTTCGGGTGCTGCAGACGACTCGAGTGGATTAATCGTAACCTGACCGCGGAAAACAAACGCACGGCACACGGCAGGTTTGGTGGCGCCGTTTCCGCGTACGCAGGAAGGCAATTGGATTTCTATGCCAATGTGTTTTTGCCCACTGCTCCACGTCAGGTCGTGCCATCACAATAAACACCCTATGGTGTGTATGTTGACGTTCTTTCGCACTGTACATAGCCAACCGTGCTCACTAAACACAAAAAGCAATTCTAAAGAAATGAGTTTTCAATCTAGATGTAAAAGTACGTAGCTCCAGTGGCATCCTAACATCGGAAGGAAGAGCGTTCCAGACGGCCGCAGAAGCGCATCTGAAAGCGCGCGATGCGGTGACAGGCCGTCTTTGTTCGAAGGTCAGCCAAAAGCCGCTGCTGTGAGGATGACCGGAGTTTGAGTGAAGGTTCTGGCTCCTTGACGAGATCAGCGAGGTGTTGTGGTGAATTTGTGGCAAGCACTTTGTCATCACCGTCGTGGTGACCAACAGCACATCTCCCACATCAGCGGTCTTGAATGCCACCGCAGGGGAATGTTTTTGCCCGCTAAGGCAGGTTATGCCCGCTTGCTCAAAAGTAAACCGTTCCTATTGGGAAGTGCAACTTTTCTTTAAAATATATATATTTTGGTTCGTCGGTCATCACTGACAAACACCGTTCAAAAGCTCAAATCGATCGATTGATGGTGCCACGCCGGTAAAGCACGCTCCGTGACCGTGCGGAGGAACCATTTCGACCCAGGCTCTTGCGCGTGTCTCGCGGCGGCGAGAACATCCTCGGAAAAAAGCGTTTTGCTCCCGGTGACCGCGCAGGGTCCGAGCAGCTTGCTGACTGCCACTCATAAATGTTTAAGCGCTCCGACGCTGAACTATTCATAACAGCGATCGCGTGCAAGGGGGGGGGGGGCGGGCTCAATTATTTATGCGCGTATTGCAAAGTTGCACTTCTTTTTGTTTTTTTAAGACTCGTTGGCGGGCTTCAATTATCCCAGCTCTGGAGGATTATTTCCGCACGCCCATTGTCTTCGCTCTTATCATTATGGCTGGCGCTCTGATGTCGTAATAGAATAAGGTAGGCGCGCGGCGGAACGGGTGAGCGCGGTTCGCCCGGAGTTGTTTTGTGCCGGGGGGGTGGGGGGGGTGGGGAGGGGGGGGTTGCCAGCCGTGTTCCGGGGACCACGGTGCGCCGGCACCCGTGAACCTGAGCACGCGGAACGTCGCGACGGCCCATTGTTTATACATCCCGCGAGCGGGAGAAAGCGCGGCGGCGCGATTGAAATGCTCGTACGCATCCATAACGTTAATGAGACGGCGGAGAACGAGCCAACGCGCGCGTGGCATGCACACGCGCGCACACGCGCACCTCACCCCCGCCCCCCTTCCTACTCGCGCAAACAACGCATTCGCGATAGGCGCCGATGCGGCCGCCGTCACCGCAACGCCAAAATCATTCATGGGTGCGTTCACAGGGAGTGGAACGTTCGTCATTTTAGATTGACGAATTCCCCCGCCCCGCCCCGCTCCCCCCACCCCCCCCCCCCACACAACGACGGTGGCTGGCGCTCGTCGGGATGTTTTTTGGCGACGAGGTGCGAGCTCGTAAGTGTGGAGCGGCGGCTTCGTCGATGACGGCCGGGAGAGAGAGAGAGAGACAGGCACACGGAGCGAGGGAGCGCAGGTGTGCCACAGGCTGGGGCCTCTCCCACTGCGTACGTCCTCACCTGCCCCCGTTCATGGGGGGGGGGGGGGGACCGCGGGGGGGAGTGGAGAGGAGGAGGAGGAGGGGGGGCGTTCGATTTCGCTTTGAGCGGGGAGGTTTGGGGCGGTTGGAGAAGCAATGGAGAGAGGGAGGCAGGTGAGAGTCGGGATGCGACGGGAGAGTGCAGAGTGTGGGAGGCGGAGGCGTAGGAGGAGGAGCGGCTCTTTATGTGATGATCATCTCCGGCGAGCCGCTCTCCATCGCGACGAGGCGAGCTCCCATCCCCGGCACCCCCTCACCTCGGCGGCGAAATGAAAAACCGACGCGAGCTCAACAACAACAACCCCCCTCGTCAATAATTCAAGGCCTGCCGACGCCTGCCGCCACTAATTTATTGCCACTAATACGAGCAAAAAGCCTGGCAGGGCAGGCCACAATTTGACACCGCTTTTGTTGTTTAAAAAAAAAATAGATATTCCGGTTTCTTTATAGCTCTTCTGTTCTCTTCTTGATTTAGCCTCACGACGAAGGCACACCGCGAACTGCGGTGTATTTCCGTTAGTCTGCCCAGCCGCTGCTGCTTGCTCCCTCGTTTTGCAACGGGCGTGCCACGCTCGTTTGCTTGGGCGACGGTCGGTTTTCACCGTCATTGGGAAAAATTGCATCGTCATTTTGCCTGACGCCCTGCTCAAATTACGGAGGGAACAGGCGACGTTATTTAGCTACGTTAAAATCAGCGGCGGTTGACACCTGATCAGGGCCTGGCATCCTCCTCTCCCCCCCACATTCATAAACCCGCGGTGAACAATTTGGTGAAGTATGGTAAAATAATCCCCGTAACAAACATGGCACAGGGAAGCTTTTATCTCACAGAGAGACCTATCGACTCGCAAAGAGACCCACAGACCCACACAGAGAAGAAGCAAGCCTTCATACAAGTGTGGATTGATAAAGGTCCGTACGTTACCATTAAAAAAAAACATTTGAAACAGGAAAGCTTACTTGTGATAGTGAGACGAAACGTTTTAGAAAAGTCAATACCATTAACAGGTTGCGTGTGGTGGGGTAAAGTGTGAGTCCTCTCACCTCGATAGCATCTGGCCACTGCGGAAGAGTAGGCCAAATGACCCTCTTAGACGGGCCTCTCTAGAGCTCCCTCCAGTGGAGGCCCCTGCCGCCAGCAGTGCCATGAGCAAGCAATTGCGGGCCCGTGCCTTTACCTCTCAGACTCAGGGCCGAGGCACATCTCTGTGACGAATGTCACTTTGAGAAGCCCAGGCAGGACTCTGAGAGTCTGTGGACTTTTATCAAACGGGGTCACAAGCGAACAGAAAAGAGGTCAAACGTTCACTCCTCGAGTCTATTTAAATAAGCGCTGTGAATCTCACTGAATCAAGCAGATTCACGCTGACCTGCTGCGTCCTCAAAGTGCGCGGTCGTTGATGCGATGACAGGAGTTCTAAGTTCTCATTCTGCTCCTCTAAAGCCCCTACCGCTCCTACCGCTCCATCCGAGTTCCCTGAAGGTTTGTTTGCTTGTTTTGTGGAGTCGGACCATTCTCATGATCATAATGCCCTTCACTGATGGAGAAAAGCCTTGGTTAATCGGGGGGGGGGGGGGGGGGGGGGGGGGGGGGTTCCTGCGTTGGAATGTTTGGCAAGTTCCATTAGCGAGTGTTTGTCATGTGTAAGAAACCAGTGGACCCGGAGAACATCCAGGCTCACGAGGGGATAACTAGAGCAAGTTCTACACAATATAGATTGTAGGACTCATTGCTCTACAGCCATCATTGCAGTTCAAGCCCAGAACACCTGGTATTCCCAGGCAGTTTTCCATCCGAGCAATAACCAAGCTCAGACATGATTAGCCTCTGAGATCTGATGAAACTGCGTGCATTCAGGGTGATTTAGTCTACATCATCATCCCTTCTGGGTCATTAAACAGAGTGGTACATTTTTAAACATCGATTGTGTTCGCAGAGACTGGTACCCACCATAGGAACATGGAATTTCCACCCATCTATTTAGACTGCGATGAGCACCACCCCAAGGAGACGCTCTTTCCTACCGTTGACGCTGACTTTTTGCCGCAAGTCAACACTGTCTATCACACGAATCACTCTGGCACACCCACCATGGTAATGTGAAATGTATTTCCACCAGCTCTGGGACACCAACACAAGGCATTCGTAGGCAATCGACAAAAATAGCCTTTAGTGGACGATCGGTCAGTTTAGTGTTTAGAGGGGGGCATCAACTTTAGGGGCACACGGCGGGGGGGGGGGGGGGGGTGGGGGTGTTTGCTACTCACGGTCAAGAGGTAGGGTCACGGCGAGGGGGTGGTGACGCTCGCACAGCAGAGCCGCCATCGCCACCGTCACTACTGCGACGAACCGGCCGGTGGGGAAGGCCTCCATCGTGGCCGGACGGTCGGACAACGCGCCGGGTGCCGCGTTCACGGGGCGAGGACGGCGAGGACGACGACGAGGAGGAGGAAGTGGAGCGGCGGTGCGCAGCAATCCAAGCGGTCAACCTGCAAGGGCAGTGGCGGCACAGCGACGCGCGAGGTTCAAGCGACAGCGGGCAACGCGAGCTGTGTGCCGCGCTTTTTTTTTGCATGCGCGCACGTGGACAGACGCGGCAGGATGAGACCGGGGGGTGGGCGAGCCCGCAGAAACAAGATCGGGTTGCGCGTGCAGGTGATGTTCTATCGGTGAAGGTAAGCCGCCGTGGCCAAACAAAGGATGCCGACACCGCTGTGTTCATTCGTGCCGAATTAACATTCGGATAGCCGGGTTCAGGCAATTAACATTTCTGAATTAAAAGCCGTGGTGCCAATGAACGATTGAAAAAAGTGACGGTAACAAACCGACCGGCGTAATTGTAATTACAATTGATTGCAATTAGCGATCGTGGCTCGGGAAAGGAACCAGATATTGACCCACGAGCTCCCAGCCACAATAACCAAGGAGCATTCACAAATACAACTGCGGGGGGAGTTTTGAGCGCACCACCGGGAAGACGACGCCGACGATGTCCGTCCACACCGTGCCAGCGTTCAGCGGCAGGTGGTGCCCACTTTTCTTAGGACAAAAGTGGCGAATGACCCCAACGCTTCCGCAGAGGAAGGGCCGGCGAGCCGAACAAACAGATGGACGGACAGTCAAACTGCACAGACAAGAGCTCTCGGCTTCCTGCACCTCTCGCTGCTTGGATACCACTGAGCACTGAACCTCTCCGTTTCACCCCCCCCACCACCACCTTCTCGTTTTTGTCGTATGCGTCATAGCTGTTGGAGCCATGCGCGTCGCATCCCATGGGTAGGGATGGGTGGGCGAGCGAGCAGGCTGGAGGGAGGGATGGGAGGGGCAGAGAGAGAAGGAGGAGGGAAATGGTGACGGGAGGGATGGGGTGGTGGGTGGGATCAGTCGGGGGAGACGCTCCCGAGTTTTTGCTTCGGAGCGCCGGTAGACGCCGAGTAGCTTTGGGCTCGCAGCTCAAGTGAGCAAAAAAACCCCCCTAAGAATGTAATGGCGAGTCGGCGGGAGGAAGGGGGGTGTTCAGAGAGAACAGTCCCAGAGGTGTTAGATGGTCACAGACGAAGATAGTCGCGGCATGGGTAATGGTTGCAGGGAGGTGAGAATGCATCGATGGCTACTGACGACTGCAGATAATTGAGCTTGCGCGCGTATAATAATCACGAGCGTGAGACTCGACGCTTTTCAAATCGAATGTGTTGAACGCTGAAGCTGCAAACGCGGCTACGTTCGTCTTGTCAAAAACTAAAAAGAGAAACGACTCGCGGGATTGATTAGCAGCCGTCCCCATTGTGACAATGCACGGAATTGCCACGGGCTGGCTGTGACTATTTAGACTCCTAGCGGTAGGTATGGAGGAATGGGGTCACGGGACGAGGGACAGTCGCAAAGGTTGGGCGATAGTCACGGGAAGAGTACGAAGGGAAAGTGAATGGAGAGGTTGACAAGTTACGAAAGGAGGGGGTACTACTGCGAAAGAGATGGCCACGCAGTGAGGGTGATTGTCACGGAGGTGGGATTAGTTACAAAATAAGATAGAGTAACGGAGGGTGGGTGAGAGTAACGGAGGGTGGGTGACAGTCACGGAGGGTGGGTGACAGTCATGGAGGGTGGGTGAGAGTAACGGAGGGTGGGTTACAGTCACGGAGGGTGGGTGACAGTCACGGAGGGTGGATGATAGTCACGGAGGGTGGGTGACAGTCACGTAGGGTGGGTGACTGTCACGGAGGGTGGGTGACTGTCACGGAGGGTGGGTGAGAGTCACGGAGGTGAGTGACAGTCACGGAGGGTGGATGATAGTCACGGAGGGTGGGTGACAGTCACGTAGGGTGGGTGACTGTCACGGAGGGTGGGTGACTGTCACGGAGGGTGGGTGACAGTCACGGAGGGTGGGTGACAGTCACGCAGGGTGGGTGACTGTCACGGAGGGTGGGTGACAGTCACGTAGGGTGGGTAAAGAGTCACGGAGGGTGGGTGACAGTCACGGAGGGTGGGTGACAGTCACGTAGGGTGGGTGACTGTCACGGAGGGTGGGTGACAGTCACGTAGGGTGGGTGACTGTCACGGAGGGTGGGTGACTGTCACGGAGGGTGGGTGAGAGTCACGTAGGGTGGGTGACAGTCACGGAGGGTGGGTGATAGTCACGTAGGGTGGGTGAGAGTCACGTAGGGTGGGTGACTGTCACGGAGGGTGGGTGACTGTCACGGAGGGTGGGTGAGAGTCACGTAGGGTGGGTGATAGTCACGTAGGGTGGGTGAGAGTCACGTAGGGTGGGTGACTGTCACGGAGGGTGGGTGACAGTCACGGAGGGTGGGTGAGAGTCACGTAGGGTGGGTGACTGTCACGGAGGGTGGGTGACTGTCACGTAGGGTGGGTGACAGTCACGGAGGGTGGGTGATAGTCACGTAGGGTGGGTGAGAGTCACGGAGGGTGGGTGATAGTCACGTAGGGTGGGTGACTGTCACGGAGGGTGGGTGAGAGTCACGGAGGGTGGGTGATAGTCACGTAGGGTGGGTGAGAGTCACGTAGGGTGGGTGAGAGTCACGTAGGGTGGGTGACAGTCACGGAGGGTGGGTGACAGTCACGGAGGGTGGGTGACTGTCACGGAGGGTGGGTGACAGTCACGTAGGGTGGGTGACTGTCACGGAGGGTGGGTGACTGTCACGGAGGGTGGGTGAGAGTCACGTAGGGTGGGTGACAGTCACGGAGGGTGGGTGATAGTCACGTAGGGTGGGTGAGAGTCACGTAGGGTGGGTGACTGTCACGGAGGGTGGGTGACTGTCACGGAGGGTGGGTGAGAGTCACGTAGGGTGGGTGATAGTCACGTAGGGTGGGTGAGAGTCACGTAGGGTGGGTGACTGTCACGGAGGGTGGGTGACTGTCACGGAGGGTGGGTGAGAGTCACGTAGGGTGGGTGACTGTCACGGAGGGTGGGTGACTGTCACGTAGGGTGGGTGACAGTCACGGAGGGTGGGTGATAGTCACGTAGGGTGGGTGAGAGTCACGTAGGGTGGGTGATAGTCACGTAGGGTGGGTGACTGTCACGGAGGGTGGGTGAGAGTCACGGAGGGTGGGTGATAGTCACGTAGGGTGGGTGAGAGTCACGTAGGGTGGGTGAGAGTCACGTAGGGTGGGTGACAGTCACGGAGGGTGGGTGACAGTCACGGAGGGTGGGTGACTGTCACGGAGGGTGGGTGAGAGTCACGGAGGGTGGGTGAGAGTCACGGAGAAGAGAGGTGCTCACGGCAGAGATGAGCAGATGGGGAACGAGGCAGTGCGAGGCAGGGGATTAGGGGAGCGCGTGCCAAAACATCTCCGCACGTGCCGAGCGTTCTTTTGCGAAAAATAACACGGTGTTGGCGAGGGGGAGCAGCGGGGGGGGGGGGTTATATATGTTTTATTGCAGGCGTGTTTACGTGTCGCGTGGGAGCGTGCGGATGTCGTGAACGTTCTAAACGGGGGTGCGCAAGAGGCACGGTGACGGTGACGTTTGCACACACGCGATAATTAGCACGGCGGTCGGCGACGATTAACACGCTGGCGATGCTGCGAATTGCCGCGACTCAGCGGTCATACTTCGAGTCCAAAAAGTTGATTATTTCATTTGACAGTGCCGAACGGTAGTGCCTCACTCCTGGATGCAGGGCGTGACGCGTTCTAAAATAAACCATTTATTTTGTATTTTAGCACAAATGACAGCCCGACGAAGTGGCTCATCACGTGGAAATCTACAGCAAGCAGATACTCTAAGCGCATGTTTATAAACGTGGAGGGAAAACCCGGAGGACCCGGAGAGAAAAAAAAACACCTCGCGACCACACGGAGAGCACGCACACTCTAAAAAATACAGGCGTCAGGGGTTGGGATCGAACCCACGGCCTCCTGCGTACCAGGCGAGGTAGGTAACATCTCGTCACGTACCACAACATCCACGAATACAAACAGGGCATCGCTTCTCAAGAGAGTCTCATCCTTCACTCATGCTAGCCATAGGCCTAATCGATATCAAACGACGTAATGATGTACCGATACGCCACTATTTATTTTGCAACTGGATTTCGTTTATTCGAGCGTTCTTCCCTAATTGAAAGCGGAGGGACCATTTTCGCCAATAAGAGGTCACTGTGACGGTCGCCACAACATTTGAAACCACCGTTTGGTTTGACAGCTTTGCTGATGATGGACGGTGTTTTCACATTCGTTGTATGTTGTCGGGGGGCGCACATCAAGGGCCACACCAAAGGCCACCAGGGGCCGCCAGTGGCCTCGCGGGCCTTGCAATGAAGAACACTGATTCATTCTAACAGCACGCCATTGACATCCCTCCCCCTGCACTCCCCCCCCCCCCCCCACATTAACTCCACGAGGGGGGGGGGGCGTCACCAGAAATCGCGGTGGCATTTAGAGGTCAGCGACATCATCATCATCGCAACCTTTTTTTTCAATACCTCCTCGCAACTCCACGGCCCGCCCCCCCCCACACACACGGTCCCCCTCCCACACAAAAGTGACGGACCCAGGTTAAGGCGTTGCGCCTCCTTTAATAGCCTTCATCCGTCCAGTTTTGCTTTGGCAATCTTCTCTGGGTGCAGACTTCTCTTTGAGGCAGGATCGTTTCAATTCCATATCAGAGAGAGATAGAGGAAAGAGAGAGAGAGAGAGAGCGGAGATGGAGAGATGGCGAGGGCACAGGCAGGCAGATTGCTTCCGAAGCCCTAATTCAGACAGACGCCGCACTCCCAAAACTGCACTCGGCGAAACGGCAACGTGACAACCGCCGCTCAATCACGGCCCGTCGGGGACTATGAGCAGCCCAGAAATGAGGCCCCGCGTCGCACGACTCACCACCACCACCACGAGTCGCTCGGGGGGGGGGAGGGTGGAACGTCACTGTGGTCCCCCCACCCACCACGGCCCTCTCACCCTACCCACCCTGGCCCTCCCCCCACCCTGGCCCTCCCCCCACCTCGGCCCTCACCCCCACCCACCTCGGCCC